TACTATACTATATATATATATATATATATATATATATATATATATATATATATATATATATATATATATATATGTTTGAAATCCAACTTCGAAAAAATCAAATTCATTTTCAGTTATTATTGTTCTGAATTTAAAATTAATTTTGAGAGATCGGTTATAATTGTTGGACTGCTCGCTAGAGAAACTGTAAACTGTAATAAAACTGTAATAATACTATCGTATCTACTACTTGTAGCGTATATTTCAATACTAACCGTTAATCGTTGCTGATAGAAATTTACAAAATTTTGCCACCTTTTTTTTCCTTTGCAAACAAATACCACTTCTTTTTTTTCGTTTGTTTATTTAATCTTATAGATTGCAGTAGCCACGTTGAGTAGGTCAAAGAAATGACTTAACAAGTTAGGTACAGAAAATAACACAACCTGTTAAATCAAAAAAAAAAAAAGAAAGTGGAATGGGAAAGAAAGAAGTGACCGGAAGATTAGCAATATTGAATGTATTTAGCAGTGAACTTTAACTAGCTATTATCTCCGCGAATATTCCGTGCAGACTACCTTCAATTGTATGATATTTGCATAGTGCACAAAATCCTATCATGCATGAATCCTCTATAAAAAGTTCACAGCACAATTTCCGCCGCTAAATCTTCCAATATGATCCAGTTGACCGATTTTTAGGTGATTAATCTTGTATTTATAGATATATTTTGACTAGATATTAGTATACATTAGTGTAATTAGATATTAGTATAATTCACTTTCCTTTTCTCATTTATTCATGCGCGAATGATTATATTTCCAGCTGGCAAGGCATATGGATATAATTATATTAGTTTGATATCACTGCTTTAAGGAATTCACGTATTTTGGAGTGAAAAAAAAAAAGAAGAAGTGAATTGGGAGATTTGAACAATGCAAAAATTTTATTATTGGCGGAATGAATAACAGTCCCGATACGAAAACTATAAATGACACAATAGCTGATTTGGTTTATTCTTTGTGATATTTGAAAAACGTAATAGTGAAACAAAAAGTTGGAATATAGAAAGGAAATATAGAAAAGATCGTACACTGATTTCATAGAAGTTAAAATTAATTTGTAGAAAAAAAAAAGATCTATGCGAAAAAAGTTCTACCACCTTCATTTGTTCTGATCCTGATATTATAAGGAACAATTTCTTTGCCGAAAGCCTTGTATGCCGAAGATAACCTTTATGCAGCTCATTCTTTCGTTCGCCTCATATGGTTACCCCCTTCGAACATGCCTGCAATCCCAATCATTTTCTGAGGCCTAGGATTGAATATCGAGAACTGTCTTTGATGAAGTGCCACGGTCTTCGTTCTAAGATCAAGTAATATCTTCGGAATGAGAGAAGTCCAAGTGAGAGTAACAGGAAAGACGGCAGATAACATGTGATTATGAACGAAATGAAGGGAAAAGTACTATTTCATTCTTTTCATTACTATTATCATCAAATTATTCATTAGTGATAAAGGTAAATTCCATGTAAACTATTAGTTATCTTGCTGTATCGTATCATCGGACCAACAGATCCAGATATTGAGGAAAGTCCATCTCGACAATTATCAACAAACTTTTAGGTGAACATATTATTTATTACCTTTTAGCTTATTTCAGATTTCTTATTGATAGAACATTAAATATTGAATGGCGATCTTCAAATGAAGTAGAAAATTTGGACCACTGTTATGCATATATTATCACTGATCTGACATGTTGACATGTATAAAACTGTCACAAGTAATTCTCTTCCAATATGCAAATTGTAAACAAATAGGAAATTTCGAAATAGCAGCAGATATTTGAAGGAAAAAAAATCGCAACATACTTGTGATAACATTGAATAGAAATAGTATAGAAGATATTATCAATATCAATATCAATCAGTTATCAGAAGAGAAGATGCATGGATAGTGAAAAGCTTGGCATGCACACCCATTCATTGCTTACAAAATATTTGTAAGATAAGTTGTTGTAGAAGAAGTGTTAGGGATCAAAAATTATCTAACTTAACTTACAATAGGAAATGAACGTTTAGGATTAAAAAAAAAAAAAAAAAGAAAAGTTTTTCTCATAGTGAGCGTTGCGTTCCTGATGGCATTTGCTTCTTTCTTATCGCTACACCTTTTTGCGTAGTGCACATGCACTATATGTAAAACACACACACATACACACACACATACACACACAAGCACACACACACACACACACACACATATACATATGTATATGTATATATACATTGGCTGCAAAAGAAAAATGCCCAGTGTTGTATAGCACAGGAAACGTTTTAAAATAAAATTAAGAAAAAAAAAGGCATACATTCATCGAAAGGTTTCATTTAGTTTTCTTTTTTTTTTTCTTCTTTTTTTTCTGCTCAATACACAGACAGAACTACGCGCAGTCATACTCGAATGGGCGTTTTTTTTAGCAAAGGGCAACGATCATCACAGCAACACCACAATAATCATCATGATGACTGCCCTGTTTAATGTCCTCTAACCTTTTCCGCCAACTTCACCTATTGAGCGGAGAAGGGAAGAAAAGAATGAGAATTGAAGATGTTCCAATTAATATACCACTACTACCTGTTTTTTTTTTGTTTTTTTTGATAAAAGCAGGTCATTTGTCGTATAGACAGTATAAGGGACATAAAGGACAAAACGGTATATAAAAATGAGACTTGAAACGGATCTTGGTCGTCCAATTTTATTGAGAAGACAGCTAATTAATAGCTTGTGATCAGTTGAAAGTTGTAAGATCTTATGGCTGGATGAAAGGGTCATCGAAATGGTATATGCATGTGACCAGCATATCAGATGTGTGACCATAAGGCATACGTGTATGGTTTATACACGTTTAAATGTGACATATAGAGAAAGAATTCAGAGAAGCGGTTTTTCTTTTTTTTTCTTTTTTTTTTCCTTTTCAATATTCGAGGAAACAGAAGAATGGCAAGTTTTTCATTTCTATTCATTTATTATTATTTTTTCTTTCCTGAAGGAGAATATAAAGTCATCACGGACACGTGATTTAGCATCAGTTACTCTTATGACCTCTTGGATGAGACATTATCTGAAGAGTTATACCATTATATTGAAAGTATTCCAGTCTTATGGCTACTTCAGGTCAAATCAAACATCCATCAAACATTTCAATGGATCATCTCATCTCAAGGGATCCCATTTTATTCTGATAATGATCATCATCATCATATTAATTCATTTCATCGTAATGATCATTGCTTCTTCAACTACAATTAATTTCTCACTAATTTTATTTCCACAAAAAAAACTTACTAAATCTTAACACATAACCACAAATGAAAAATCTATGAAGGATGAATAGATACTGTCACCATTGTAGATATAATGATTAGTGATAACGACA